ACAGAACTACTTCAACGTCACCAGTGGAAGTGGCTGCTACCCTTGTAACTGTAACTCAGTTTTTTCTACGAGTTTGCAGTGCAATGATAACGGTGTCTGCCCGTGTAAGGCTGGTGTTAGTGGTACCAAGTGTGATATAGGTCTGTAACCACCAATACTTTTTTCTCTGGGTTGAAATTATGATCAGTTATGTGTCCATGACACATGTGTCACACGGGTGAAATAAGCAGTTTGCATATGCATGCATACTCGGAAATTTGGCGGGAAATTCGTAGACGCATTTTGGATTTGGAATTTACTAGCATTTATTCTGTGTAACAGAATCCGTCCGCCGTTATGGGAACTCGGCCTTGAGATCGTCCGATCGTTCGGTGGTAATGATTGTTTTTTCTATCACTGAGAACATTTTTCGCTTTCGGTTATTTTAGCGGTTTTTGTGCGCAGTCGTACCGTTACCGCACCCTGCGCACAGCAATGAGTTTTCAGGTCCACCGCTTCAATGCATTTCTAATACTTTCCAACGTATATTTCTACTGTTACATGGTGTCCAAAAGAAAGACATTTTAAGCTTAAATGTTGACCGTGTAACGTATAACAGCCACGTAAAACTTTCTTGACGAGATCTAGAAAGTTTCACGAAATTTATGGATGAATGAATGGATGGATAAGTTCTCCCATCCATTACATGACTGCTTTCTTCTCCTGTATGTGCACCCGCGACGTGTGCATGAGACACAAGTTTCACCCAAAGAGTAAAAGCTGGTCAATGTAGGCACCTTGAAGCTTGTCTCACAACGCCGTTGGATACAAATTTCATCAGCTTTAGTAATTACATCCTATGCTGATAATGAAATATTGTACACATATCCAAAAGCTACTTCCAAGCTGTTAATTAACTGTATATTTTTTCATTTTATGTTTGTTTACTCGACAGAGAGGGTGACGCATTCCTTGCGTCGAAGACTGGAATCAACTGTGCACTGTATAAATATTCTACATTTTGCTTGTTTGCTTTTTGCTGCTCTTTTTCATTCTATATTTATTTGTAGATTTAGGTGTATTGCATCGTAAAAAGAAACCAAGATGACTCGTTCAGTCCTCTCCTAAACGCATCGTCGGTTCAAAATTAACCGTTAAGAACCGTGCAACTGTGGCCAGAAAAGACCAGACGGGATTTGTATTGTTTAATGTTCTCGCTTTCTTTCTTTACGTGCAATACCAGTTTCAATTAATTATACTTTTTTCGTTTATATCTTCAGAAAATGAATGTCTTCTTTGCTATGGAGTTTACCAAAGCGCTGGACGGACGAAGCCCTCAAGCCTTCAGAGAGAGATCTCTATTTGAAGGAGAATTTCAGACGCCTTACTGCATTTCAGACGAGTAATTGCTGCATGTTAGACGCATTTTACACAACTTGCTGCAAATAAGAAACAAGTGGCTACAAATAAGAAAAAGTTGTTTCATGTAAGAATTCTCATCGATTTCAAATATTCTATCTTTGTAGAGAAACTTCAAGCGATTCTCCTAAACTTAATAGATTTCAATATTTGACATGTTTGTCCGAAGTTCCTCGGCCCAGAATGCAACTGACTCTTTGTGGTACTTGAAAAAAGCTCGCCCACGAACATACATAGCTGGGTACGGATTACATATAATGTTCGACAGTTTTAAATTCCCGGCGATTTCCAAAAAAAAAAAACCGAATTGTAATCGATCGAAACTTACGAAAACAAAAATGCAAAAAAAAGTTAAGTAGGCCTAAGTTTCGGGTCACCCATCCAGGTACTAACTTCGCTCAACCGGACTTGACTCAGTATTATTGAAGGCCAAGTTTTTTCCACTGGACCACGGTTTCAGGTGAATCAGCATAACAATAGCCATGAAAACAATGCACCAGATAGACCTGACTTTTTAACAATACTTTTTTAACCGATTCCGTGCGTGGCAGAGATGCAAGGGATTAGCCGATATGGTCTGGGGGCCGGCTGGTCTCTCCCCTGATGCTTCGGCTAGAACATTTTCTTGCGTAATTCGTACACCCAAGGGCAGAAGGATTTAATCGCCGTCAGGTCCGAAGTCCATACGACGCCCCAGCTCTGCGGATGTCTCGGGGGTATGGCAAAGTAGAATCGATTTTTTTTCCTTTCTTTCTAAGAAGTATTTTTGTCGTTGGGTTCGGATCCCATCGCCGGTGTCCAGTTAAAATTTTTTAATTTCCTACTGATTTTTTTTTTTTTTTTTTTTTTTCAAAATAGGGATGACTACTTTATTCCTCTTTTGGAAATATTCAGCATTACAAATTAACGGTATTCTCGTGAATTGATCATGAAATGTAGCCTTGCAACAGTTTACTGACAAGGGCTTTTACTCCACTTGGTTTCGATTCTGGGTATTTTCTCTCTACTTTTTGATATAATTCCGTTTATATGGTACTGCGACTATCGCATCTAGGATGGCCGGTATTTTTCAGTCCCACACTTGTTCTGTTCATGCCTTTTCGCGAAAACTGAAGAGCGCATTAATGATTTCTAGTAAAAAACTTAGAAGCTGTCATTTATTCCGCAATAGTTAAAATGTCTCTGATGAATTCATTTTCGCAAGTCAAAAGTCGTCCTTATTTCAACTATGTCCTGGTAAAATCACAAGAAGCCAATCTATGTGAAATATTTGCAAGCTTAGACGTATCAGAACAAAAGCTCAATGAACGGGCAACATATTTAACATCGTTATCATCCTAAATGAATTTATCATCATCATCATCATCATCGTTAACATTACCATCTTCAGTACAGGTTCATCATCATTACCATTGCCATGCATTTCTATCATCATCATCATCATCATCATCATTGCCAGCCTCATCACTATCATCAACACCAGCATCGCTATTATCACCATCACCATTATGATCATGCATGTGATGATCATTGCCTTTCTGGTATATGACCAAACCATACACTGTTTGCCCCTTGCATGTGACGTCAAAGCAGTTTGGAGGAAATGACAAAAGAATTTTTAACTCCTGAGAATGGAGAAACCATTGTTATGTCCTACAAATTGAGCTGCATTCCAACGTGCTTCAAGGGATACTTCCTCAAACTTGCTTTTAACCGTAAATGTTACTCGATAATCTGAACAATCGGCAAAGTATTGATATAAACATATATACTTCATGCATGTATATACAAAAAGTGTTGAACGCATCATTTAAGATGTATTAGACTTCCGATGACCTATTGCCACAAAGAACTTTTACAAATATATGTAATAAATTATATTGTGGACTTAATCCACTTGGGTGTAATATTTTGCCCATTTCAGACCACGTGTCATTCTCTCGAGAATAGGTTTTTTTGCTGGAGTTGTATCCATATTCACTTCTCATGTTCAACCGTTAAACAAAGAAATGATACTTTAGGGAATGACACGTGGTCTGAAATGGAAAAACAGTGGATTAGGTCTATTGAAAAGTGTACTGCATTATAAGAACAATATGGGAGAAATAATATTAGAGAAAATGGATTGTACAGGGGTGTTCACGTGTCTTCCTCGTTCTCGTTCTCCTTTTCTTCCCCATTTTCTACTCTTCTTCTTCTTCTTCTCCTCCTCCTCCTCATCCTCCTACTCCTCCCTTTTCACTGGAAAAAACAATTTCAATTTCTTCAAACAAAGGCGGATACCATGTATTGACTACTCATTTTAGCGCTTGTAGGACAAACCTACAGTTTGACGCTATATATAGCTAAGCAAATAAAGCTTACTTGGTGCACGACAATCGTGACTATAGAAATCTTTATGAAGAGAATTTGAACCATATATGGCATCTATTATCTTAGCATCTTTGAGTTTTGACAGCTTGAGCCTTCGTTTTTCCGACCGTGTCAGGAAGCATTTAAGTCGGAGTGCGTCAAAACACTAGCGCTGTAAAATATAAACTGAATCGCTGTTTATTTCAGCTCGCTACAATGTCTTTCACTACTTTCTTAATCGTGATGCTTCTAACTTCGTTTGTTTACGGTAGCAACAAGAACTGCAGCGTTGGGCCTTGCTTTCCTACTTCAAGAGAGATAGCAAGTAAATTCTCAGTTCAAGCGAATTCCACATGTGGTGTCGATAAAGCTGAAGAATATTGTCTTCCTTCTAGTCTTGACTGCAACCAAATTTGTAATGACAGCAATGCTAAGGCTAACCAAAGTCACTCTGCCACTTATATTAACGATGCATTTGCTTTAAATACATTCTGGAAGTCTGTAAATATGGATCGACCAGTGTTTTTACAGTTCGACTTTGGCGTACAGTTCATGGTTTATCGTTCTGTAGCGACGTTTGAGTTCGAGCTTCCTGCTGCCATGTACTTCGCGAAGTCGCAAGACAACGGCCTGGATTTTCGACCTCTTGCTTTCTATGCCACTGCTTGCAGTAACTTCTTTTATATGACGGAAACTCCGATTAACAGATTGAATGGTTTGGCGGTGGAATGCTTTAAAATCGATCCCACAAATAACCCAGCTAAACAAGTAGGTGTATGTGATATTATACTATACATCCTCTTTCTCCCACTACCACCACTACCCTACTACCATTGCCACTACCACTTACCACTGTACCACGACTGCTGCTGCTGTTTCCCGATTAGTGCTACTACTTCCACTGCTGCTACTGCTGCTGTTAGTATTACCAAGGGCGGATCCAGGGGGGCCCCCTTCAGCAGAAAAAAAAAACAAAACATAACTAAAGAATTAGACCCTTTTTTTTGTTGTTTTCCGCCGTCGTGTTGACGGAAGAAACTCAATTAGCCCCACCCCTAAAATTTGGCTGGATCCGCCCTTGATTACTGCTTGTATTTATTTTGTTTTTGCTKATGTTGAGATTGAGTATGGCCCTATGAGAGACCCAGCAACATCCCAAGGGATCGTCGCCAGCTATCAAAACCAGACATACTTTGTCATGACCAATCTTCGTCTTGTTCTGGTCAGCTACATAAC